ACACTACAACCACAGATAGCAGTGTCTCCATGTCTCACTGTCTAACACTACAACCACAGATAGCAGTGTCTCCATGTCTCACTCTCACACACTACAACCACAGATAGCAGTGTCTCCCCGTCTCACTCTCACTCACTACAACCACAGATAGCAGTGTCTCCATGACTCACTGTCTAACACTACAACCACAGATAGCAGTGTCTCCATGACTCACTGTCTAACATTACAACCACAGATAGCAGTGTCTCCATGTCTCACTCTCACACACTACAACCACAGATAGCAGTGTCTCCATGTCTCACTCTCACACACTACAACCACAGATACCAGTGTCTCCATGACTCACTCTCACATACTACAACTACAGATAGCAGTGTCTCCCTGTCTCACTCTCACACACTACAGCCACAGATAGCATTGTGTATCTGTATTACTCTAACTCATTACAACTAGGGACAACAGGATCGTCCTATCTCCCACAGACACACAACAACGAAGCGAGGGGATTGTGCTAAAAGCGCAAGTAAGCGGTTTGGAATTCAACTGGAAATGACAAGAAAGGTTTGCCAGAAACAAACAACGTGGAACGTAAAGATCGCTGTCCATGATTCCAACCGGCTGAGACATTGTCAGTGTATATGTAAGCGTTATTAATATTTTTTCGACGTCCTTAAAAGTCAGAACAACTAAATCAAACATCCGATAAATATTGAAATTTTATCCAGAAAGTGGTTTTGTTCACCGTCTCAGACCACCGTTTTGAAAATACATGTAATCTAACATGACATCTACGGGAATGATGGTAATTGATATGGAGAAACGCGGGGCTGATTGAACAGTAATCCCAGGCTTCCATGTGATTGTGAAGTAAACTCGAAACATGTTATGTTTTGATAGACATTTAGAAGTTAGAAGAACAAGAATGCACGACGCTTTTTATGGACAGTAACTTCTTTTATTCTTTGTCACGACGTTTCAGAGTTACTTCTTGCTGCTTCATCAAGCATTCGCCTGATGAGGAAGCAAGAAGTTCTTCCATAGGGGGCGGTCGGGTAGCCTAATGGTTTAAAGCGTTCGCTCGTCACGCCGAAGACCCGGGTTCGATTCCCGACATGGGTACAATTTGGAAGCCCATTTCTGGTGTCTCCCGCCGTGATATTGCTGGAATATTGCTAAAAGCGGCGTAAAACCATACTCACTTACTCACTCACTCTTCCATAAAAAGCGTCGTGTATTCCTGTAATGTCTAAGTGTCCGTTTCATGATTCCACACCACAAGGTTTGTGGTGTTAAGAATATCTAAGGTTCTCTTCAACTTGTAGCCACACGATGATCCTCGCGAATCCAAATTAACTTGACAATGATCTTCCTCTTTACAGTTGACCTTCGTCTAACCGACACCACCGTTTTCTTTAAAAACGAAATACTTTTAACGTACATAGTTGTACTCCCAAAATAACGGTCTTGGTGAATGTATTTCGCTGCGGGCAAGGGTGCCCCAGTCGTGGCAATTCGCTGTGCAGAGTAACGTCCCTTGGGCACTCCAGGAACCTATGAGTGGGTTCGAATACCGTTTCGTTCCTAAACGTTCTCGGTTTTTCAGCATCCTACCCTTTCTCGTTGCTATATGTTTCACAAAGATGGTAAACACTTCTGAGACATGCATCACTGTTGGTTTTCCTCCAACATTAAGCTGACAGCGGCTTAATTCCACTTCATTCTCTGACTGTATTTCGTTATGTTCTGGCCTAGCTTATGTGCATCAACAAGGTTCCGTTCTATTAATTTCGGGTCTCTGAATCTTGATTAAAATACACAAAATAATGCGAAAAATATCTTCCTGGCACACATTTGACCTGACCTACGTTCGCAAAAGGTCTAGTTTTTCAGGCCTGGTTAAATTTGTTTCCGTTTATTTGTCTAACTGACATCACGTCCTGAAAAAGCATCCTTCGTAACGGGGCTTACATTTAAGTCACATACAGACAAATACGCATTATATTGGAGATACGTATCTTATGTCGGTATAAATTCTCAAATGTTTCATTTATGAATCGATAGTCAGAGTGTTGGTGTTGGTGTGTTGACGGGTGTTGTTTTGTGTTTTGTTGTGTTGTGTTTTGTTGTGTTGTGTTGTGTTTTGTTTTGTTATGTCATGTTGTATTGTGTGGAAAAGATGGGATTTGATGTGTTTGTGTGCGTCCGCGGCGTAGTGGGAAGGTTTGGTAGGGGTGAGGGATAGTTGCGAAGTGTTTTGTGTGGTTGCGTCTCAAATGTGAACGATACAATGTATTCTCTGTTCGTCGAATGTAAGTTTATACTTGTTCTTCTTGGCTTTTTCCGTGGTGTGTATATATGGTACATCGTTAGCATAAAAACTCAAAATATCCATATTAAAAAACTTAGTTCACGTTTGCGTGCGGTATGTTATTAAAGGGAGGTAACGCATGTTTCTTTGCGCTTCAAACACTTTTGACTCATCACAATGGTAAACGCTGTCCAGTTTTTTCAAGGGTAAGAGTGTTGTACACAAGACATTTATTAAAGTTATTGCTTCATCTTCTATAATTATACAAAAATTGCAAGTGATTCCGTGGTTACTGAATGGCTAAGCAAGAAAGATATTGTGCGTTTATTAACATAAACCGAAAAAGAATTAAGCCACGCCCATAAACGCAGCACTGTTTCGTGATTGGCTGATAAATATATGGTCGGGATTGTGTTGCATTCTAGTAGTGAACGATGTCACTGACTACGTATTGGTGTCAACAGTTTAGTAAATACATTGTGGCTCGACACACTCATGTGTCTTTTAATATTACAAACGATATTTTAAGGAGTTTTTAAATTGAATAACATTAAAAAACAACAGCTATACTATACATAAGTGAAGATTGGTGTTATGAAGGTTACGATATCGGATCGGAGGACCCGAGTGTATCCGGAGCTGCAAGATCAGCCCAAACCGCTTCCGTTGCCGGTGGCGTAAGCTATAGGGTCAGATTGAGTGAGTTGGGTTAACGCCGCTTTTAACAGTATTCCAGTTATATCAAGGCGTGGCAGCTTAATGTGGGAGGAAAGCCCGAAGTGATGCAGGTCTCAGACGTTTACCACTTCGGTGAAACCCACGAGAACGGTATGGTGATGCCAAACCAGGAAACATAATCGGGGCGAACCGGGATTTGAACCCACAATCATAGGTTTCTTGCGTGCCGAAAGGACGCAACTCTGAACAGCGAATAGCCTGAGACGACTGGGTCACCCGTGCCCCGTGATAATATGAAGAAGGTGACTTCTATAAGCGAAATAAATGGAGGGATTGTGTATGTAGCAATACTCGATGATCCAGTGTATAATACCTAGTCTGTTATGATTTATCCTAGCTTACATTAAGATACTCATTTCTGATTGGTTACTGAATGACCTGAATATACCCTGCTGAGAAACGCCGAACTTCTCACCAATGTGAATACAATAATATGACCATATTATCTCGACACTGAACATCAAATGCAGTTTAAATAGCGAAATTAACAGAGCAAAGCCGATTGTAATGCAAGGGTGTCTGCCACATGAATCAGTCACTCTGTCCCTATAACGGTTCACTTGCCATAATGACGAAGACATTTGGACAAACAGGCGACAATTATGCCGGTAAGATAAATTCGTTGTCATATAAATATCCAATATGTTCTGTTTTATATTTTCGTACTTTGTCTGACAACTTTCCCGATAAGAAATTGATCAATTGACCAATTAATCTCCATCTTCCCTAGGCAAGGGAGTTGACTGACTTTAAACGTCTAGTTTCCAACTGTTTGTCAAACTGAAGCGAGAGATATCTTCCCGAGTCAAGGGTGTTAACTGACAATAAAAGTCCAGTTTCCACATCTTCCCGAGGCAAGAGAGTTAACTGACTATAAAAGTCCAGTTTCCACCCTTGCCGAAATGGGCTGGAATGATGGAGTTATATTTTGGCTTGACTAACGAGTCTTTGCATAGTCCAATCAAAATCGCGTAACGAAATCGACAACAAGTTCGTAAACTGCCATGCAGACGTCGGTCGATTGTAGGATTTGCAAAGCATGTGTACCGACAACCTAGCGCCAACACATATTTTCCAATTCTTGTCAGGTTTTGTAATCAGGGTGCTCCAAGACTTGATGCACTTCGCGAGGTAAGACCCGTTTTATTACAATATACATCTTGATTATCGATCAGATCGTTTTCACTGGGCGACGCCATTATTTTTTAAGCAAATGCAAGTGATATGAGAGGTGGAATCTGATTGGTCAATAGGAGGGACAGAGAAGATACATAACTCGTAATAGCCAATGGTAGCGTTACGATCGAGCCCGGAAATTCCAGCCTAGTTTGGCAAGGGTGGAACCTGGACATTCACAGTCATATAACTCCTTTGCCTCGGGAAGAACTGGACTTTTATAGTCAGTTAAAGCCTTTGTCTCAGGATGATGATTAATCTTTTAAAGTAACGTTAATGTACAAACATGTTTTAATACGCTTTCTGTACAAATCGACCCGAGGGTACCCGGAAAAGATCAAATCCCGGCACCACTGGTTGTCGTAAGAGTCGCCTGATCATATTGTGGATCGGGTGGTCAGGCACAGCGGCCTAGTTAATTGCGTGTCATGTGACATCATGGAGCGCTGCTCTTTCAGGTCACTGGATTGTCTGGTCCAGACTCGAGTATTTACAGGCCTTTGTGGTGGACTGTTTTTTCTGTTTGTTTGTTTTCTAGCAATATTCCAGCTATATGACGGCGGTCTGTAAATAAAAGAGTTTGCACCAGACAATCCAGTGATTGACATCATGAACATCGATCCACACAATTTGGATACGATGACATGCATCAACCAGGTCAGCGAGCCTGACCAACCGATCCCGTTAGTCGCTTCTTACGACAAGAATGGTCGCCTTTTACGGCAAGCATGGGCTGCTGGAGACCTGTTCTTGTCGACTGCAGCGTAAAACAAACGGAACATGTGCAGGGCTTTCTATTGTCATCATCCTTGATGGTGTCCCATGAGGGCGTTCACGACAAGTCGTACCATCCATGGCGCGACATGCCTGTACTGCTACACATTGTCCTGGCTGTACAGCATCCCTGCAAGATATGGATGTGATGCGTTAAGTTAAAAGTGATCGTTCTTGATTTATCAAAATGTTTCTTGTCTTTTTCGCGTACACGTCATCTTGTCACATATTTCTCAGGTACATTTAGGAATTATTTACTGTAAATATATTGCAAGTGGAAGTTGATTGGTTAACCAAGCAATTTTACCATAAACCGAAAAACATTTGGCCACACCCACTATCGGAATACTGTTTCCTGAATGGCTGATAATAAAATGGGCGTGCTGTTGTATCGTTTCACTGATTTTGTGCTGTAGTCTGTGTTCATGATTAAATAGCAGTCTGTGAAGCTAATATTGCTGACGTAAACATTTGTAAGAAAACGATTCAGTGAGCTATTGCGCTTAATGTATGAACGTATTAAGTGATGGCAACAATCTGCAGAACAACTTTGTACTTTCAATATATTTTACGTTTGCTTCATTGAATCAGTAATAGATGGCGACAGCGTTCTTGAAATAATTTGTTTGTTTGTTTGTTTGTTCATCTATTGTTTAACGCCACACAAAGCAATATTCCAGCTATATGACGACCCTCTGTAAATAAACTAGTCTGGACCAGACAATCCAGTTATTGACATTGTGAGCATCGATCTGCGCAATTGGGAAAGGACATGCATCAACCAAGTCAGCGGGCCTGACCACCCGATCCCGTTAGTCGTCTCTCACGACAAGCGTGGGTTACTGAAGACCAATCGTACACGGATCTTCACAGATCCTTGAAATTGCTTTTTTCAAAGTTGTGAACTTAACTCATTCCCTGATTTCTGATGACACTGGGCCTGCGGGGTGAAATGACCTGTCCCAATACACTCTTCAAAAAAGAAACGCTTAAGTAGTATGTAGTTCATTGAACCTAACTACACAAAAAAGGGTATATAAATTTGATATATGTTATTGGAAAATGTTGGCTGTATTGGGATATCATCGCAATGCTACAGCTACAGAGACTGCAGGACGCATCCCTGGTTTGAGGAGGATATCGGACCAAACTGTCAGGAACCATCTTCGCGAGGCTGGAATCCGACCCAGAAGACCAGTTGTCGTCCCTGTCTTGCAACAGATCCATTGACAGCGACGCTTGCGTTGGTGCCATACCTAATAGCCTTGGAATTTGAGAAACTGGAGACGAGTGTGGTTTACCGATGAGTCAGAATTTCTTCTTCAACGGCGAGATGGAAGACAACTTGTTTATCGTCGTCAAAATGAGCGTTTTGTCCCACATTGTGTACGTGAATTCGACAAATTCGGTGGCGGTAGTGTCATGGTGTGGGGAGCCATCTCCTACACCACGAGATCTGACTTCAGGGAAATTTGACAGCAAATAGCTACATGAATCAATTCAAATTCTTCAACCTAACCTTCTTCCAATCATTGACCGCCAGAGGGAGCTGTTTCAACAGGACAACGTTCCACTGCACACAGCTCGTGTCACGGTAGACTACCTTCATAATGCCAACATCAACGACTTGCCGTTGCCATCGAGATCTCCAAATCTCAACCCAATCGAACAACTCTGGGATGAATTCGATCGACGTGTACGTCAACGTCAGAACATGCCACAGATATTCCCACAACTGTCCAACGGGTTACAAGCAGAATGGCGCAGAATTCCGCAGGACAGAACTCGTACACTTATCCAGTCAGTGCCGAGGAGATGAAGAGCCGTGATTGCTGCCCTGGGCGGTCAAACGAGATACTGAGTTCAGCGCAACCTTGTGGCCTTATGTGACATGACAATGAACAGTTTTCAATGCCTTTATACAACGACAATATGTGACTATCGAGCACCAAAATTTCATTTTTGTATCTATGATATTAAATTTAATATATTGGACTTTATTAGGTACAATAAATTTACAAAAAATCTTCCTGTGCGTTTCATTTTTTGAAGAATGTATATTTTGGTATGTGACCTTGGAACCGTCAGCTGGGGATCTTCAGATTGGAATGAGCGTTCGGGTTACACACTGACCTTCAGATTATTGAAAGATAAGCGCTCCTTGTCACGAAAAACGTGTTGCACATGCGACATTGACAACTGCTGGACGTGTCTTCCGTATAAGGGGACAAACAACTTAAGCGATTGTTGGGACAGATGTTGAACAACAATCGGTTGATAACATAGATAAAAACACTCATTTATGATGTTTATAACTCTCATCCACGTCCAATGCGGCTTGTAAATTAAATAAGTTAAAACTTTGGGACGTGTTTTATATTCCATGTTTCCCATCCTGCCTTACCTGTGATGCACGCCGTCATTAGGCAAGGAGTTTGCTCAGAACTTTAATGCTGCATTGTCAAGGCCTGTACACACCTGGACACCCTATCTTATCTGCAATGCACGCCCTCATGAGACGAGGAATTTGACCAGTACTGTAATGCTACATTGTCAAGGCCTGTACACACCTTGACACCCTATCTTATCTGCAATGCACGCCCTCATGAGACGAGGAATTTGACCAGTACTGTAATGCTACATTGTCAAGGCCAATACACACCTGGACACCCTATCTTACCTGCAATACACGCCCTCATGAGGCAAGGAATTTGTTCAGTACTGTAATGCTACATTGTCAAGGCCAATACACACCTGGACACCCTATCTTACTTGCAATACACACCCTCATGAGGCAAGGGATTTGACCAGTACTGTAATGCTACCTTGTCAAGGCCTATACACGCCTGGACACCCTATCTTACCTGCAATGCACGCCGTCATGAAGCAGGCTATCTGTCCAGTGATGTTAGCTCTGACGACATACTTGCTGATGACATCCTTCCTGCTGGGTGCCAGGGCAGTGAGGACGCCCATAGTGACGCCCACAGCACCCAGATGGTTCAGACCACACATGGCATACGTGCTTATAACCTCAGACCGCCTCTGAAATAAAACACGAATCGGGTGTTGACGGAAGCCAGGTTCGTTTATATCCATGAATGGTGGTATATTAATGTGAATGGATTAGAAACAACTGCAAGATCGGTAGTTAGGATTGAAAAAAATATATGAGTGAGTATAGTTTTATGCCGCTTTAGTCAATATTCCAGCACTATCACATTAGTGACAACAGTAGTTTTATGAAACCATTCAGATGCGATCTGTCAAGATATAGTCAAAGTGAGCATTCCTTTATACAGGGCTCTGTTGATCCAACTATACCGCGAGTAGTCCTTTGTACAGGGCTCTGCTAGTCAAGATATACTCACTGTGAGTATTCCTTTATACAGGGTTCTGTTAGTCAAGATACATGTATGTTCACTGTGAATATTCCTTATTCAGGGTTCTGTTAATCAAGACATATTCACTGTGAATATTCCTTTATACAGGTTTCTGTTGATCAAGACATACTAAATGTGAATATTTCTCCATACAGGGTCCTGCTGGTCAAGATATATTCACTGTGAGTATTCCTTTATACAGGGTTCTGTTAGTCAAGATATATTCAATGTGAGTATTCCTTTATACAGGGTTCTGTTAGTCAAGATATATTCACTGTGAGTATTCCTCCAACCAGGGTTCTGTTAGTCAAGATATATTCACTGTGAATATTCCTTTATACAGGGCTCTGTTAGTCAAGATCTATTCGCTGTGAGTATTCCTTTATGCAGGGTCCTGCTGGTCAAGATATACTCACTGTGAGTATTCCTTTATACAGGGTTCTGTTAGTCAAGATATATTCACTGTGAGTATTCCTTTATACAGGGTTCTGTTAGTCAAGATATATTCACTGTGAATATTCCTTTATACAGGGTTCTGTTGGTCAAGATATATTCACAGTGAATATTCCTTTATACAGGGTTCTGTTGGTCAAGATATACTCACTGTGAGTATTCCTCCAATCAGGGTTCTGTTGGTCAAGATATACTGATTGTGAGTATTCCTCCAATCAGGGTTCTGTTAGTCAAGATATACTCACTGTGAGTATTCCTCCAATCAGGGTTCTGTTAGTCAAGATATACTCACTGTGAGTATTCCTTTATACAGGGTCTTGTTAGTCAAGATATACTCACTGTGAGTATTCCTCCAATCAGGGTTCTGTTGGTCAAGATATACTGACTGTGAGTATTCCTCCAATCAGGGTTCTGTTAGTCAAGATATACTCACTGTGAGTATTCCTCCAATCAGGGTTCTGTTAGTCAAGATATACTCACTGTGAATATTCCTTTATACAGGGTTCTGTTGGTCAAGATATACTCACTGTGAGTATTCCTCCAATCAGGGTCCTGTTGGTCAAGATATACTGACTGTGAGTATTCCTCCAATCAGGGTTCTGTTACTCAAGAAATACTCACTGTGAGTATTCCTCCAATCAGGGTTCTGTTAGTCAAGATATACTCACTGTGAGTGTTCCTTTATACAGGGTTTTGTTAGTCAAGATATATTCACTGTGAATGTTCCTTTATACAGGGCTCTGTTAGTCAAGATATATTCGCTGTGAGTATTCCTTTATACAGGGTTCTGTTAGTCAAGATATATTCAATGTGAGTATTCCTTTATACAGGGCTCTGTTAGTCAAGATATTTTCACTGTGAGTATTCCTTTATACAGGTCTCTGTTAGTCAAGATATACTCACTGTGATAATTCCTCCAATCAGGGTCCTGTTGGTCAAGATATATTCACTGTGAGTATTCCTTTATACAGACCTCTGTTAGTCAAGATATTTTCACTGTGAGTATTCCTTTATACAGGGCTCTGTTAGTCAAGATATTTTCACTGTGAGTATTCCTTTATACAGGGCTCTGTTAGTCAAGATATATTCACTGTGAGTATTCCTTTATACAGGGTCCTGTTGGTCAAGATATATTCACTGTGAGTATTCCTTTATACAGGGCTCTGTTAGTCAAGATATTTTCACTGTGAGTATTCCTTTATACAGGGCTCTGTTAGTCAAGATATACTCACTGTGAGTATTCCTTTATACAGGGCTCTGTTGGTCAAGATATACTCACTGTGAGTATTCCTTTATACAGGGCTCTGTTAGTCAAGATATACTCACTGTGAGTGTTCCTTTATACAGGGCTCTGTTAGTCAAGATATACTCACTGTGAGTTTTCCTCCAATCAGGGTCCTGTTAGTCAAGATATACTCACTGTGAGTATTCCTTTATACAGGGCTCTGTTAGTCAAGATATACTCACTGTGAGTATTCCTTTATACAGGGCTCTGTTGGTCAAGATATACTCACTGTGAGTATTCCTTTATACAGGGCTCTGTTAGTCAAGATATTTTCACTGTGAGTATTCCTTTATACAGGGCTCTGTTAGTCAAGATATATTCACTGTGAGTATTCCTTTATACAGGGTCCTGTTGGTCAAGATATACTCACTGTGAGTATTCCTTTATACAGGGTCCTGTTGGTCAAGATATATTCACTGTGAGTATTCCTTTATACAGGGCTCTGTTAGTCAAGACATACTCACTGTGAGTATTCCTTTATACAGGGCTCTGTTGGTCAAGATATACTCACTGTGAGTATTCCTCCAATCAGGGTTCTGTTGGTCGAATCCAGGATGACGTTGCCTCCCTCCCAGTGCCAGCTTCCGTTTGTTGAAGTCACGTACTCTTCCAGATCGACACGGTTCAGCACAAGTTTACCAAACTCACGAAATCCCACAAATGAATTTGCGAATATCTTGATTCCCAGCAGTTCGCCCATCTTGAAGAGATCTGAACTCGAGAACCCCATGAGGTAGGTCAGTGGGTAGAAAAGGTAGGAACAAATCAGCTGAAACACAGACAGATATAACATCTGTGTATATGGTTAGCTAAAACATAGATAGATAAGCATCTGTATTTGCATACAACATGTTATCACTATCGGTAACAGAATCTGGAAGCATGTGGCCGTTTTCTGAAAGTAAGCTGACTAAAGAGCAAGTAAAGGTGAATTGCGATTTTTTTGCGAATATCAATTTTCCTAATTACATCAAGTAAAATCCCGACGGTGAAAAATCACAACATTGCTAGAAAGTATTTTAATGTCCAAGGGAAAGTGCTGAAATCCCACGCTCCGTAATCGGATTCCAAAACAGCAGTGCAGCGGTGCATGACAAATGTTTTCATTGGCTGATACGTAGATTTAGTTGCAGTGACTATCTATTGTATATGAGGTGAAATCGGGATTAACGTCGCGTTCAAGATTATTGTACTAATATGCGGCGTGGCTGACGGACTGTGTGGCTGCATGTACTTGTGCGGGCTAATGACAGTTATATGGTGCTAGCCCATTGAGATAACACGGTTTAACGTGGATGTCCGATTTCCAGCATATGTGATAAACCTCAGAGTTGTAATATTGACAAGAGTAAAGCAACACATTGGTTTCCTTCATAAAGAGGTGCCAGACAAGGATGCCCTTTAAGCCCTTATATATTTTTTTTATATTTTTTGCTGAAGTGATAGATATTAAAGTTAGAAATAATTTGGTTATTCGGGCAGTCAGAATTGGGGATAAGGAATTGAAAGGAGTTTAATTTGCAGATTATACAAATTTGACAGTTAAGATTTTGAGCTTAGTAACGAAAGCAGTTGAATTTTATAATAACTCGCAAAACATAACAGGCTTGAAGATAAATGTGAAAAAGAGTAGTGTTATACCAATTCAGAATCCCCTCTTATCAACAGGAGTAAATGGAATTTGTACACTGGCAACTGAAAGTCTTAAACCTCAAATTTTAAAAATAAAGAAAAAAATCCAAATTTGATCAAAAAGGAATTAATCACATTTTGGAAGAATTTTTCTATCTAAAGGGTAAGGTTGTTCAAAAAAAGTTTACCAAAGTAGCATGATGTAAGTGCCATCAAAATTATGGAAAGAAATCAATTTTGAATTTATTTGGAATTACAAAAAAGAAAAACTGAAACAAACAGAAATGATAAAGTCAAAGGAACGTGGTGGAGCTTCGGCTTCGGTCTGGATTCTTTTCTTCCAGCGGCTTTTGGAAGTTGATACCAGATTTGTGTTTTAATAAAGTGGGAGGACTAAGTCTTCCATTTCCTTTGAGATGTAATTATGATGTTAATAACCTTAATATTTTTTTACCATCAATTTATAAATCAATGCTGTTGCTGGGTTTATATTGCAGAAATAGAAAATGATTTTTAACCAAGAATCTGGAATTGTTAGAGATTTGTTAGATGATAGTTGAAGGTTAATGACACGACAAGAACTGCAAGAGGCATATAATCTGAATATAACCAATAGATATTATAATAATATTACAAGGGGTTTTCAAAGATGAAGTGGGTGCAATATGAATTACCCTTATAGACAACGAATTCGGTTTTTGTTTGATGCTCCCCCAGAGCTGCAGGGCAAGATCATAAACGAACATATAAAGTCTAAACATTTTTATTCAATTCTGATGGGAAAGAAAATCACTATGCCTTATAAGTTTGTTGATTGATCAAAGGTCGGCAAGATATATACTTTTATTATAGATCTGCCACTATAAGATGAAGGAATTGCAGTTTAAGATTATACGTATCATTGATTCGTGTAAAAAGTGGATTTTAAGCTCATTATACATGTAAGTGAAACACCAGATTGTGATGTTCGTGAACAGAAGATGATATGATCCATTACTTTTTTGGCTGCAGTAATGTTGCTGAAATGATGAAAATAGTATGAAACATTCCTTAATAAGTATACAAAACAACCTCTTTCGATCAATTATTAATTGTGTTTTTTAATGAGATAATATTGATCCTGTATTTGAATTTCTGAACCTTCGTGTAAAATATTTTATATATTAGTCTCTGAATACACAATGCCATTAAGAAAGTGGTCAAATGTATTGATGGTATATTTAGGATAACACTTTCTTAGTAAAGTACAGATTCTCGTACTTTTTTGGGTTGAGTCTCGTCCCTTACTCTGGCAAGTGTGGGTTCGAATCCCGGACGGGACTCAACCCCCAAAAGGCATTCAAATGAATTACCGTAAATGAGACGTCATGGAAACCGGCCCTTTCTCCGAGCCACAGCATGGTCGTGTCAATGAAGTGTATGACGGCGATGAAGATGATCTGGTTGACCACGATGGTGGCGACAAGCTTTATGCCATCAACTGCTCCCACTGACAACGCCTCCACCACGTTCCGGAACTTGCTAAAAAAGTTAATAACGTTGTGGTCTATCGGTAACGGCCATCACGAACACAATCTTCCAAAAACGGTACATGTGTGATTGTTTGTATAGCGTAACGACCCAACAATACTTCTGCTATACGACGGTAGAGAAATGCATGAACATTCAAAACCGACCTCAGAGCAGCAGCATACATTACAATTAACACTCACTCATCAGAAAGCAAGAGATTCATCTACCTTGTCTTGATAGTGTAGGCATCCTTGGGCTTAATCTTGGTCCAGCGCGTCTCAGGTACCGTGAGTTTGGCCATGGCCAGAGCAGCAGGAGCAGACATGATGGAGGCAGCAAGAAGGTGATTTGCCGGAGCCTGGAGACACAGAGCAAGAGGAACACCGTGGAACAACGCAAGGCCATGTTCTGACATTTGAACAAATAAATACAGTAGTAAATGCAATATATGGCGACAAAATATCTACTGTGATACAATGACTTCCACATTGTTGTATTATCGAGGTCAAAATGCAGAGGGTCATTGTTATGACATTTGAAAACAGTAGTAAACATCACATTGAATATCACGACTAAAACTACATAGGTTTCATGTCCTAAATGGCATCATTAGACAACGAAATACGGACACTGTGATAGTTGTTTTACGGCTACAAAGCTGTTAACATTGTCATGGTTAAACTGTCTTTTTTTAGGGATATACAATAAACTACGGTTATTACGAACTCAAAGGGACTACGAATTTAGTTCGTTATAACCGTAGTTCGTTATAAGCATATATAGAGCATAACTACAGCAAATAGTCGGGACCAAAAAAAGTGAGTTCGTTATATCCGTCCGTTCGTTATAAGCGTGTTCGTTATAACCGTGGTTTACTGTACAAAAAATAATAAGGGCGGTGGGGTAGCCATGTGTTTGATTTCCCACAAAAGCATTATAAGTGAAATCCCTTTTTTTGTGTCCCCCGTCGTCATATTGAAGGAACATTGCTGGAAGCTGCTTCACTCACTCACTCACACACAGTAAGTGCAAAAGAAGTTGCTGAAGATATCCTTGGTCATACTATTAAGATTGGCGGCTATATGACGGCGGTCTGTAAATAATCGAGTCTGGACCAGACAATCCAGTGATTAATATCATGAGCATCGATCCACGCATTTGGGATAGATGACATGCATCAACCAAGTCAGCGAGCCTGACCACCCGATCCCGTTAGTCGTCTCTTACGACAAGCATAGTCGCCTTTTACGGCAAGCATGGCTTGCTGAAGACCTATTCCACCCCGGAATCCTCACGGGTCTACTATTAAGAAGAGTCCAAGTACATCGTCAGTCTCCAGCATCAGTAATACCAGCTGTTTTGTTTGTTTGTTGTTTAACGCACTCAGCATTATTCCAGCTAAATGACGGCGGTCTGTAAATAATCGAGTCTTGACCAGACAATCCGGTGATTAATATCATGAGCATCGTTCCACGCCATTGGGATACGATGACATGAAGTAATGCTAGCAATGGAGTGTTGCAGCTGAATTCCTTCATGAGATCACCGAGTGCTGCCATCAGCAGTTGATCAAGCGTACATCTTTTGTTTTGTTTGTTTGTTGTTTAACGCCGTAACGGTATGTACATAATCGAGTCTGGACTAGTCAATCCAGTGATTGGCATTATGAGCTTCGATCCACGCAAATGGGATACGATGACATGCATGAACCAAGTCAGCGAGCCTAACCACCCGATCCAATTAATCGCCTCTTACGACAAGCATAGTCGCTTTTTACGCCAAGCATGGGTCGCTGAAGACCGATTCTGCCCCGGATCTTCACGGGTCAAGCGTATGTCTATATTTTGTGGTATGACAGTTTTATTTAAACATTAACACAGTTCTAAATGCAACAATGTGTTTAATTCTATTTCAAAGGGGGGTGTTCCATCTCTGAAAGATCTCGAGTAATTAGTAAGGTAATATGTGAATATTCGGAATCGTTTTTGCTGTTAGGAATAATGTACCTTCATAGTTGAAAATGATTTGCAGATATATGACGTCAACGCCAGAGAATAACCAGTATCGATTATCCACCGAAAGAGATAATTCCATTATTGAAAATCAATGATGACACCAGGTATTCGCGAAACGGGGAAGCTTGCCCTTCCCGAAAAAATAACCTGCGGTTTTGATAATTATACTTTCGTATTCAAACAGTGTGCGGTGGTTTGGATTTAATATTATATCTCAATCCGGACATTTACGAAGTGATCACTATCAACTCCACGCATTTGTCTGACGACCCGTGAAGATTCCGGGGTAGAATAGGTCTTCAGCAACCCATGCTTGCCGTAAAAAGTGACTATGCTTGTCTTAAAAGGCGACAAACGGGATCGGGTGACTTGGTTGATGCATGTCATCGATCCCAATTGCGTGGATCGATGCTCATGATATTAATCACTGGATTGTCTGATCCAGACTGGATTATTTACAGACCGCCGTCATATAGCTGGAATATTGCTGAGTGCGGCGTTAAACAACAAACCAACCAACCATTAGTCTGACAATGTCCTTTTATTAAATCTTGAATATGAATATGAATATGAAAATATGAATTTTTTTTCATCGGAATGGAAAATACAAAAGTTAAAATCAGCCACATGGATATGGCTGTGACATATTTGGGACAATGATGCTGTGTCAATGGCACGTAATGACGTCATTAAAAATTGAATGGCGCCATATGGTTCAACGACAATTGAATCGCGTTGTTACAAGGAATTGTAAAATATGTTAAAACCTTTGTGTCCATTGAAGCCCGAATATTACGGTTTTCAAATCTAGGACGAGCTTAAAACTTTGCTTTATCACGTTCATGCCGAACACGGTTCTACTTACGCCAAAGCTTGTAAGCATCCCAAACACACTCCCAGCAATACTAGAAAACCCCGCCACCATGATGGCGTGCATCTCGGATGACGTCATGATGCTCAGGAATGGTTTCACGGGTATGGGTGCTTCTGGCTGCAATACAGTGGAACAAACAAACCTCAACCCAATCCAATCCAACTTTCCTCATTTGATATTCTGCCAAGCCTGAGTCAGGAAAGTAAATTAAAATGAGACAACCCTTTATATAGTCATCAGACATCCTTGCTAAACGAGAGTTCTATATACGATTCCAAATGTACTATAAGTATGTGTTTATGAATTACTGTCGAGTAGTGATGATAAAAGATGTTCGCGAAAAGGTGAGCGTATCTTGACCCAGAGGGGCACAACCACAATGACATGCAAAGAAGGCAAGTCAACGGTTCATCTGAAAACACAGGCCGCGCTCAGCAATATTCCAGCCATATGACGGCGGTCTGTAAATAAACGAGTCTGGTCCAGACAATCCAGTGATTCACATCATGAGCATCGATCCATGCATTTGGGATACGACGCCATGCATCAACCGAGTCAGCGAGCCTGACCACCCGACCCCGTTAGTCGCCTCTTACGACAGGCATAGTCGCCTTTTACGGTAAGCATGGGTTGCTGGAGACCTATTTCGTGACAGTTGAATGTTTAATACAGTGGTGTCGGCAGGATGACATGGTAATGTGACTGTTAAACGTTCTATTGCCTCCTAGGCACCTTGGGCTGTATACTCCCCAGGGAGCTGAAAATGAAATTCGAGTGCACACTGATCCATTCACCCAGCTAATGATAATGTAGCGTCCTGAGCATTCAAATGTTCATGGATTCTGACGCATCAGTTATGTACTTATTATCATGAACATAACAAACGTTAACAGCATCAAACTCACGGGACCAAGAAAAATGTTGAATGCAGCGTTCACGGATTCAATAGGACTTGTGCCGAGACAGGAGGTCAGCAACCATCCAAAGTTGGCCACAAACGCCTGGAGAACCCCGTAATGGTACAACACATTCACTGTGGCGCTCATTGTGATCACCAGCGGCATTGCCTGAAAACAGCCATTAATTAGCAACGGTTAGCCCCCCGATGTCGTTAGTCATTGTTATCAGTGGGTTAAACAATGTACATTGTAACAAGTGCATTGGAGAATTAGTGATGTCATGTGATGTTTGTTGTTTAACGCCGCATTCAGCAATATTCCAGCTATATGACGGCGGTCTGTAAATAATCGAGTCTGGATCAGACAATCCAGTGATTGACATCATGAGCATCGATCCACGCAATTGGGATACGACGCCATGCATCAACCAACCATCGGACCAAGGTCTTCGGTGTGACGAGAGAATATTTTAACCACTTGGCTACTCCACCGCCAGGGATATTCGATGACTGTCATGCAATAAACTGACGAATTCCAATATATGCAAACACATTTACTTCAAGATTAAACTTATGGTCAGAACAACGTTTCTGTGTTTATTCGTGCCAGATAATTCCCAGGGATTACTCAGGGATGTGGACGTTGTCCCTCAGTGTTTGCGTCACTTCAAGAATGCAATCCTGTGAAAAGCGTATGAACGTCGAAATGTGTCGTTGAAAATCTCTCGTTCAGTATAGTGTAAGCTTCACATTAAAGCATTTCGTACGTTTATCATACCGCGGCGCAGTGGATACAGGGTCCCTCCTCTTCCCCGAAATAACACAAGGTCAGGTATAGGAGATGAAAGCAATTGGTAAATGTAAGATACTAAATTTACATCTGAGACTAAGATGTTGAAGAAGGTAGAACTATTTGGAGTAGACATAAAACTACTCTATACTCACGGCAAACACAAACTTATGGTCTCTGTAGGATTGACCAAACACAAATGCAGAGCCCTTGTCCGTATGTTTCAAAAATTCTTCAATTCTTTCTCCAAGCCAGTAGAATATTCTGTAGCCTGAACTTGTTCGTAATATCAAAAAGGCAAAGAGGAACTGAGTGCCAATTCCCCAGAATACTGCATGCCAGTTTACCTGAACAGACAAAAATATGTGAGTGGGTCAGTATCGTTTTACGCCGCTTTTAGCAATAGTCCGGCAGTATCACGGCGGGGGTCACAAGAAATGAGCTTCACACTTTATACACATGTGGGGAATCGAACCCAGGACTTCGGCTTGACGAGCAAACGTTTTAACCGGCTACCACACCTCCCCAGACACAAAAAAACAATTTAACGCAAGTTGTTGCTGAAACTGGTCCAGTTGTCGGGATGATGATCCGTGACTATATACTTAAAGAGATATACTTAAAGTTGCCATAGGTTTCATCCAACGTCCTGCTGATACAACATGATAGAATTCAAGTATCATTCGAAACGGCGATAACGCCCGTTGTCTTTCTGGTACTGATTCACACTGTACCTTCCTCGTCAAGTGTGTTTCTTAACCAGGTTTATGATTCTTGTTCTGTCTGTACCGTAGTCAAAGTGATAAACGTCACATGGATTTCAACCCACCGTACTTCACACAATTATCACATAAATTCATTCTTGCGTTAGTTCAAGCATTACAAAAATTGAAGTAGCCGCTCAGATTATCACAAATTGTTAATTGTTAATTAAGAAGCTGATAAAGGAGGCGTTTTAATAATTTTGAACATTATTTATTACCAAAAGCTCTCATTAGATATCTTAAAAGATGAATCTCACCTCACTCATTACGTATTTAGTGATGAAAGGCTATATTCATGTCCAACAACAACAGGTAAATAGTACCCTTCATGCCGGACACATATTTATCTCATCTTGTGACCTGACCTCATCCACTCGATCAGGAACATGCTCTATGAATATGTGGCAGTGAATCGTCTGAATTGAATTACTTACTCTATCCGGATGCTTTGAGATGATGAAACCAACGACGATGAAGAAGGCGAGACCTCCCACTGATACGAGGTTCCTTGGACAGGACTGGACCGCCATGTAGGATGCAACAAATATCACCATAGCAACATATAGCATCCTGAAGAAGAAGATATCCACAAAATCACATTTTCCTTGGCTATGTTGTGATCTGAGTTTGTTATTTGAGTATTCGATCTGCTATGTGCAAACGAACACAGAATATGACATTAAACACGCTGCCTTTTACAACATCGGGCGTTGACAATATAAAAAAGATTCTTACATGAGACAGGTGGAAGTCGGACGTGATGACAACGGAATCCGTCTTTGAACACAATACACTCCCGCACAAATAGAAGCAAGTATGCAAAGGACTTCTTTGCGGCGTTCTACGCATCGGTCACTTACATTGGACACAGACAACCATATATTCTGCAGGGAGCTTTTTTTTATACATTAATCAAGGTTGAGACATATTGTATTTATGAATATACAACAGACCACTGGCAAATGCAAGCCACTTCAATGTGACGTCAAGGAGGGACCATTTTGATTTTTGGCGGGGATGGGTGTTCTGCTGAGGTCCTAATACGGAACTGTTGAGTTGCAATATCTTGTGATGTGATCATGTGGTTTTAGATAAATTGATCATACAGTTCATTTAAAAAAACAACATTAACATCTTGTGATAGAAGTGATGGGAACACATCTGTTGAGCCCATTAATACTACTTTAGACTTTGACAAGGTGCCCTACGTACCTGGGGAAATAACATACCATCCTATTCTTCTTGTCAAGGCCTGTGCAAAGAGGGTGAAAAACATACCACCTTAATCGTTTTGGTTTTGGTTTGGTTTGTTGTTTTGCGCCCCACTCAGCAATATTCCAGCTGTATAACGGCGGTCTGTAACCAGACAATCCAGTGATTGGTGTCATGAGCATCGATCCATGCAAATGGGATCGATGACATGCTTCAACCAAATCAACGAGCCTGACTACCGGATCCCGTTAGTTACGACAAGCATAGTCACCATTTATGGCAGGAATGGGTTGCTGAAGACCTATCCTACCCCGGATATTCCGGTCCATTGTCAAGCCCAACATGAATGTGGAGAAGGTGCATACCTTTCCATCTTATTATCCCCCTCCACGAAGTGATACGGGGAATAAAGGAACGGAATTCCCCCGTCCGTCCTTCCGTCTTTTTGTTCGCTTCTTATATTAAAGGCGACTGACTTTCTCAGGAACTATTTAAGTTAAAAAAATGGAACTTATAGCACTGGTCATGATTTTGAAATGAGTTTGAAAAATTGGTGTCTTAAATTCATTTGTTAACATGTTATGGCCCTTGCTCTGTGCTTTTCAACTAAGTGCATAGTGTCTGCAGTGTGGACAAATTTTCTCACAAACTACTAATGTTACAAGGTTATCTAAGAGATACTTGTTAAGAATTGCTTAAAAAATTGGTGCCGTAAATTATTTTGCCAGAGTTAATTCGCTTGTTACATATTTTTAGCAAACACAGTTACCACACTTGATCAATGTTGTTTTACACAGTGCAGTGTCTGCAATGGGAACAAGTTTTCTCAGAAACTACCGAAGTTTGCTTATCTAAGAGAAACTGATCAAGACTGAGTTCGAGAATTGAATACTTTTTTTTCCAGAGCAGGGGACTTTTGTGTTTATTAATTTTACATTTAGTCATTTTTTATGATACCATAAAGCGACCATTGGCCCTATCTCTTCTTATTTTTTTATAGGACTCTTTTTATAGTTTATATTCAACAAACAGAATTTTAATGCGGGGATAGTGATAACGCTGTTTATTGGCTTCTCTTGTCAAACCGTATGACGAGAAAGTTAGAAGTATACGAATTTATTCATCTTGACAAGCCCAATGTTGAGTAGAGGAGAAGGTATCATGTTATTCCTCTTGACGAGCCCAATATAGAGAAGGTGAGAGGCATACCGTCTTATTTCTCATGTCAAGCCTTATATAGAGAAGTTGAAAGGCTTATATTACCATCATATTTCTCATGTCAAGCCTTATATAGAGAATAGGAAAGGCTTACCATCCTATTTCTCATGTCAAGCCTTATATAGAGAAGTTGAAAGGCTTACCATCCTATTTCTCATGTCAAGCCTTATATAGAGAAGTTGAAAGGCTTACCATCATATTTCTCATGTCAAGCCTTATATAGAGAATAGGAAAGGCTTACCATCCTATTTCTCATGTCAAGCCTTATATAGAGAAGTTGAAAGGCTTACCATCCTATTTCTCATGTCAAGCCTTATATAGAGAAGGTGAGATCCTTACCATCTTATCCCTCTTGTCAAGGAAGGATACGTCTGAAAGCTGTCTTGTCCTTTCCTTGGACATACATTGAGGCACCGACGTATCCGTGTCCAGAAGTTCACCTTAACGATGACAAGAAGAAGGAATATTGTTCCTATCAGCAACCTCACTGATCCTTCGTCACCGAAGGAGTGGTACATGCTGAAGCCGAAGTAGACGAGGTATGCCATCAATAACACAGCATACAGTATAGCTTTCAGTAGCCTTTTCTGCCTTATAATCCTTGCCCACAACGATAACCTGCTGCGATTAATCACTCCGCCAATTTCTAGGTAATACTCGCGATATTCTTCTTCGTCGTTGTTGACGTCATTACTGACGTCATTGTTGACGTCAATGGGGAATGTTGACAGCGTTGTTTCCTCCAGGTCATCATAATCGTAGTTCTGAAACTAGAGATACATGTATATGTACTGAGTGTGTGTTTCTTGTTTAACGACCCACTCAGCATTATTCAACGTACGATGACGGAGGTCTGCGTATGTTCGTGGTTGATATTATGAGCAAGGATCCACAACGTCAGGGTTCGATTACACGCTATCAAGTCACCGAACCTGACCACCCGACTCATTAAGTCACCTCTAACGCCCAGCTGAGCTTGCTGGGGACCTTTTTTTGAATGTTTGTTTGTTTTTTGTTGTTTAACGCCGCATTCAGCAATATTCCAGCTAATGACGGCGACCTGTAAAATAATCGAGTCTAGACCAGACAATCCAGTGATTGACATCATGACCATCGATCCACGCAATTGGGATCGATGACTTGCATCAACCAAGTCAGCGAGCCTGACCACCCGATCCCGTTAGTCGCCTTTTACGACAAGCATAGTCGCCTTTTACGGCAAGTATGGGTTCCTGAAGACCTATTCTACCCCGGAATCTTCACGGGTGTTTTTATTGAATGAGGAGATGTAATCATGTATATTTTATTGAATGAGGAGATGTAATCATGTATATTTAATGTACTTGCTTTATGGGTATTAAACTGGAAAAAACCTGTCGGTTGGTGGGGACAAAAAGCAATTCAATTTCTTTTTTTTGTAGTTTTCTCCTTCACTTCAGGTTGACTGGTAAAAAAATGATATAAATTGTTTAATGTGGAAGGAGAGCCTGCAACAGTGTTCTTGCTTTAGGTAAAGCAGACCTGTCGAATCAAGCGGGAATACTGTTGTGCATCTGTGCATTCTACCAATTTATTGAACAACAAACTATATTTTGACTCCCCGGTTTAAGAACCGTGAAGATCCGGGGTAGAATAAGTCTTCAGCAACACATGCTTGCCGTAAAAGGCGAATATGCATGTCGTGAGAGGCGACTAACCGGATCGGGTGGTCAGGCTCGCTGACTTGGTTGATGCATGTCATTGATCCCAATTGCGTGGATCGATGCTCATGATGTCAATCACTGGATTGTCTGGTCCAGACAATTTACAGACCGCCGTCACATAGCTGTAATATTGCTGAGTGCGGCGTTAAACAAACAAACAAACAAACAAAATTACTGAAATTCCTGCATTCGGATTAACTGAATTGATCACGCGTATTGCTATCATTTTCCAATGAAAGTGAAAAGTTAAACCACGCCCATGGCCACTAAGCTACTTTCGCCATGGCGGAATGTCGGGGAATCCCAATAACAGTCAAGGTAATTGCCTTTCGGGTTAACTGAATCGGGGTGGTCGGGTAGCCTAGTGGTTAAAGCGTTCGCTCGTCACGCCGATGACCCGGGTTCGATTCCCGACATCGGAACAATGTGTGAAGCCCATTTCTGGTGTTCCCCGCAATGATATTGCTGGAATGTTGCTAAAAGCGGCGTAAAACCATACTCACTCACTTAACTGAATCATCGTTCACAGGACGTTCTACCGAAATTCGTGCATATTCATCGTCGAAAGCATTTTTCTAGGCAGTAGTACGAGAAGAAATGAAACAGCAAGCGTGTGCAAGCGTGTCTTTTTCGCTCGCCTCGGTTCCACAAATTTCATATCTTCGGGTTTTATTTCTAACCCGCATTTTTCCAACTTTGTCTTCCCTTTCTGAGGGAAATAATGTTTGAATCTGGCGGTTTTAATTACTGACGATGTCATTTGAAACAGCCGCATTCTCACTGACATATTTGTTCCGGTTCGTTACAGTCTGACTGTTGCAGTTCTTCTCGCCACTTGTCTTGATTGACAGGTCATATGGACGTTGTTTAATACAACTCTAGTTGATTGGCTGGTGACTTTGTGGGTGTGTCAAATTATGTGCATAAATTAAACAATCATCTTTATCATGTCACGCCACAGTATGTGTTCCCTCGACCACGTGGTCCTACAGAAATATACATGAAATAGACACGTGTCATCACGCATAGCTTGACTTTTTGTTGAAAAAAAGATTAATCTGTTCCTGAAATTAGTCAATAAACAAATTATGTTTTACAAAAACAGAACATTGATCGCTGATCATGCTGGTTGCCCTGACATATACATATTCAATAAAATAAAGTTGCGAAAACATGTGTTAGCCGAAATGTGAGCAAAATTATCATAATGAATATTCATGAACAATTCATTCGCAACGCGGTTGATTTGCCGGTTAAAAAATAATATTTATACACTGTCGCTTGATTTTAACAGGAACCTGGGACTTGTCTCAAACCCACTTATGGCCTCGCGTATTTGGGTGACTGTGTGTGTACTTGTAGTTCACTTCTCTATATGTTTGTTCATGAGCGTTTTCATGTAAATGTTCGTGCGAATGTCTGTGTACGTGTGCGCGCGTGTGTGTACGTGTGCGCGCGTGTGTGTACGTGTTCGCGCATGTGTGTACGTGTTCGCGCGTGTGTGTGCGCGTGTGTGTACGTGTTCGCGCGTGTGTGTGCGCGTGTATGTACGTGTTCGCGCGTGTGTGTACGTGTGCGCGCGTGTGTGTACGTGTAGGCGCATGTGTGTGCGCGTGTGTGTGCGTGTGCGCGCGTGTGTGCACGTGTGCGCGCGTCTGTGTACGTGTTCGCGCGTCTGTGTACGTGTTCGGGCGTGTGTGTACGTGTTCGCGCGTGTGTGTACGTGTTCAGGCGTGTGTGTACGTGTGCGCGCGTCTGTGTACGTGTTCGGGCGTGTGTGTACGTGTTCGCGCGTGTGTGTACGTGTTCGGGCGTGTGCGTGTGTGTACGTGTTCGCGCGTGTGTGTACGTGTTCGGGCGTGTGTGTACGTGTTCGCGCGTCTGTGTACGTGTTCGGGCGTGTGTGTACGTGCGCGCGCGTCTGTGTACGTGTTCGCGCGTCTGTGTACGTGTGCGCGCGTGTGTGTACGTGTTCGGGCGTCTGTGTACGTGTTCGGGCGTGTGTGTACGTGTTCGCGCGTCTGTGTACGTGTTCGGGCGTGTGTGTACGTGTTCGCGCGTCTGTGTACGTGTTCGGGCGTGTGTGTACGTGTTCGCGCGTCTGTGTACGTGTTCGCGCGTCTGTGTACGTGTTCGCGCGTGTGTGTACGTGTTTGCGCGTGTGTGTACATGTACGTGTGACGTGTCCATGTACGTTTACGTGTCGCGGTGCGTGTGCATGTTCATTGTCGTGTCCCGGTCCGTGATGGTTCGTGAACGTGTTCTTATCTTGCGTGTGCATCTACTTGCATTTGTGAGTTAGGACTTCACAAAACTCCCTTCTCTCTACTCTCTCATAACTTACACGCCCAGGTTATTCTCGGCCCAGATCTGTAGCCGGTCGTGAGGAAGACTGAATGTGCAGTAACAATAAAATTCAATCCAAATTGACCTTCACATACATATTCTTGTTCCAGCTTACCTTGTGTTTGTCAGAGTTTTCAGTCTGAAGTTCATTGTCTCCTTCTGCTATGGACATATTGACGTAAGCAGGAGGGGCTCCTATATCCTCAGGATGAGAGATGCGTTAGCCTACAAGTATTAGTGCAGTAAGGGTTACGTTTTGGCGCTTGTTTTCCTACGTTATTGAGAAGTGATTTCACAAGAACCGGAGATGTTTGAAATAATATAACGTACTATGCATTTGATGACTCAATAATATGTTTTTCCTGAAAGCCAATTGGAATTTAGTTATTATTTCGTGTATCTTTAAAAGTACACGACGTGTCTGTCATCTAATATCATATATCATCTGCGATGATGGATGGGAGCACAACATATATTAATGTAGCAGTAATGTACATGACTGAGTGTTAGAAACTGAAAAGGTATATAGCCTTATATCTGCGCACTTTGAAACTCTAAGGCTACCAGATGCGGATCCAGGGTATTGGACAAGCTGGGACGCACACTCAACCAACGTCACTAAGTTTGTTATTTCTTTGTTGTTTAACGCCCCACTCAGCAATATTCCAGCTGTATAAGGGCGGTCTGTAAATAATCGAATCTGGACCAGACAATCCAGTGATTGGTGTCATGAGCATCGATCCATGCAATTGGGATCGATGACATGCTTCAACCATAACGAGCCTGACTGCCTGATCCCGTTAGTTACGACAAGCATAGTCACCATTTACGGCAGGAATGGGTTGCTGAAGACCTATTCTACCCCGGATCTTCCATTATCAAGCCCGACATGAATGTGCAGAGAAGGTGAAAAACTTACCACCTTATTCGTTTTGGTTTTGGTTTGGTTTGTTGTTTTACGCCGCACTGAGCAATATTCCAGCTGCATGACGGCGGTCTGTAAATAATCGAATCTGGACCAGACAATCCAGTTATCGACATTATGAGCATCGATCCACGCAATTGGAATTCGATGACATGAATTAACCAAGTTGCCTCTTACAACAAGTATAGTCGCCTTTTACGATAAGGATGGGTTGCTGAAGACCTATTCTACTACAAGTCACTAACAGAAAATAAACATATGAAATATTAAGATCATCGTGGTAGGGGTTCGGACCAGGATACGCCCTGCAACGTGTACGACGTTTAACCTGACACGTGTGGCCTGTAACACGAAATGTCTGTCATTTCATAATGCTTTAGTGGGCTGACATTTATGAGCCGCAAATGATGCCATGTCTCGAAAGAGGATCCCTAGACAATGCTGGTAGACATGTGATGGGCAACACAACCAGAGCGTGCATAACATGACACCAGCTATACAGCTTCGTCATTCCGATATGACAGACTCCTCTAGCCTTACTTCAAGTATGTACTGAATGGTGAGTCGTCCATTGGTGTATAGTAATTCT